GGAGCTCCGCGGGAGCGCCTGGGGTCGTCCCCTCCCTCCCAGCCGGCTGGAAGCCAAGTTCAGTGCGGCGTGGCCGGGCCGAGATGCATAATGGGGGGTCCGTATCCCGGTATCCCGGGAATACCGTACCCCACTCAGCAGTGCTCCGGCTTGCTGGCTGCAGGAGCACAGGCGCCGATGCACCGTGTAACGCGAGTCGCTTTGCCGCTCTCTCCGGATTTTTTTTTTTTTGCTCGGCCTCTTTATCTTTCAATTGCAAAGCAATTAAAGGTCTGTATGAATCTGCGAGCATCCCTCCCCGCGGGGCCCTCTGATGCCCGCTGTATTGCCCTTTAGATGCCTCTTCCTTTTTTTGTTTTACAATTGTTGTATCAATATAATGCTTCCTTTCTTCCTCTGTCTCTATAGATACAGATATACAAGGCAAACCAAAGGTTTCGGCTGCTATTCAGTGCCTCCTCATTTGTCCCAGAGCCGTAACAGTGGTGCCCTTTCTCTTCTGGCTGCTTTTCCCTGCTTCTGGAGCAGCAGTTATGGGAGAAGCAGATGGCTACTGATTGGGTGAGCTTTGTGGCTTTAATACTGAATACTTTATGGAAAAGGACTTTATCATGCTTGGTTGGTCAGAGGAACAACGGGATGAGATTTATGACTAGAGAAAATAAATCTTTTTAAGTTTCAAGCTCCTTCACACACCCCACGTCAAGTTGCTGCAGCAGAGCTGGAGCTGAAATCCTCTGCATCTTTATTTTTTTCCCTCCCCCCCGCCCCGTCTGTCTGTCCTTTCACTGCTCTCCCCACCCCCTCGGCGTCAGGGTTTAGCAACCTTGGCTAACTTTAGGGACTGTCACTCGCTGGAGAAGCCAAGGCCTTCAGAGCCCCCAGGCAGCACCGGGAAGGGAGAGGCCATCCCTGCATGAGGATTATCCACCTGACAGGGAATATGCTGGGCACTCAGCTCCTGCCGAAGCTTGACCGTGCGTAACCCAGCGGCCACCCAGGGTCCGGTGGGGAGCTGTGAGTGATGTCCTCATGGACACAGCAGCGGAGAGGTCATGTGGCCACCAAAGAGACGCCCGACCCACCGCTCTGAGCTCATGTCTCCCGAGGAGATGGAGCCCAGCACTGCCCGACCCCACGCACCCCAGGCCGGGCAGCGCTGGGCCGAAGACTGAGGGACCATCCCTCCAGGGCCCGTCCTCTGCGCTGTCCTGCAGCTGCAGCGTGGCTTCTGCTGGCCCTTACACCGAGACACGCAGGGGTGTCACAGGGACAGAAAGGCCCGAGGGTGTACAGGAGGCAGAGGCAGACTTCAGTCCTGCAGGGATTCCCCTTCTTCCATTTCTCTCCCTTTTCTGTCCTTTGTAGCCAATCCTGTCTTCTGACAGGCTGTTCAATGTTTGAAGGAAGGTGAAGCTAGGCGAAAGCTTTCCAGGTTTTAAACCTTGATGCTGCTGTCAGGCCAAGTAAGGAGGAGAAGCAGAAAGCCTGGGAAAAATAATTTTGAGATAGAAAGTCAGCAGTGATAGTGGGCTATGTATGAACCATTTAACCAGACACCTGTATTATGTTTGGTGCTCTAGGGTTTGGTCAGTAATAGAGAAATTTCTGCGACCCTTTAGTGAATACACAAATTAATATTTTTAACCAGACTCTGTGTTTTCTGAGAAGAAAGTAGAGGGGAAGTTCGGGCACCATGAGGGATGAGGAATGAGCCGAGGTGCCTGTGGTAAGAAAGCAGGTAGGGAAGCTATGTTGGGTTCCTGGGGAGCAGGAGCATTTGCTGCTTGGAATGAATCACAGCTAAAGCTGGTATCTGTCCCTTTTGAGGGATTTGTTGTGTTGTGGCATGGTGCTGACCTGACCCAGGAGTCCAGCATTGGTGATGGGGGGTCTGAAGGGTCAGAGGGAATAGGGAGGGACAGGCACCCCAGGTGTGTTTGGGAGCTGGAAACAAGACAGAGCACTGCTGGTGTGCCTCGGCCCTGGTAAGGACCTGGAGGTAGGCAAACATTCATCTGGTTGTGGGTCTGAGGATTTCCAGGGCATTCCCTGTGCTGCTCAGCAGAAGCAGCAGCGGGAGAGGCACCGCTCCTCCGTGTCTGTAGTGTGATGGGATGTCTCTGGCACCCCAGCACAGGGCTTCCCCAGGAAAGGCACCATCCACGAGGCTGGTGACAAGCAGAAAGGATGGTTTCAGTCGTTCAGCTGAGGCCTCAGTTTATTTCCACTACAGAGGCCTGTCTGTCTCCAGGGAAGGGAACCATTCTGGCTGCATTTCTCCAGGCACCGGCAAAGCTTGTGGCTCCGCATTTCGTTTTGAGTGGATTTTCCACTCCACCTGGTGTGCACCTCCCGGGGACCACAGCTGGCCCTGCCCCTGGCAGCAGCAGGCAGAGAGGGTAGCAAGGCAGTTTTGGGCATCCCTTAGTGCCCCTTCCCCATGGTGCCCTGGCCCCGCAGGAGCAAGTGTAGCTGGGCTCAGGTGCTTCTGGGAATTCGTGTGGTCTCTGGGTGATTTTATTTTAGGAGTGGCTTCATGGCAGTCACCTGGGACCTGACTCTGAGCTGTGTGTGTGTCTCCTCATAGGAGTAACCACACTCCCATAGGCCTGGTGCATGACACGACTCAGGCAGTGTTTCCCAAAGGGTGCAGGATTGTTTCTGAGCACAGGTTGAGCAGCCGTTCCTGGTCCCTCTCCTCTTCCTGCATGAAGGTCAGGGAGGCAAGAGGAGACTGGCACCCCTGGGAGCTGCTGCTGTGTCCCTTGCAGCCATCCCCACGATAACGCATCGTGGCAGAAGACGGTGGTTAGTGATAACCGTGTCCAAGCACCCAGTCATCCCCACTTTGCCAGCCCTTCGGCCCCTGCAGCCGCCTGAATACCCACCGCGTCCCGGCCAGGGAGCCGCGGATCCTGGGCCGTTCCCCCGGGCCTTGATGCCCGTCAGGGCTGGCTTCTGTGGGAAGTCGGCTGGCCAGCCCAGCCCCTTCTGAGTTCAGGTCCCGGGTTTGTCCGCTGCTCCCGGGGCTTCCCCTTGCCCGGGAGTTGCTTGTGCCGCGCTGGTGCCGTCCAGAGGGGCTCAGCAGAGCAGGGGTTGTGCTTTTGGAGGGCGGGGAGTGGCGAGGGTTTGCTGGCTGCGCGGGTCCCTGGGAAAACGGCCGGAACTCCGCAGCCCGGGGTGCCCCTGGCTCTCCGCAAGAGATATTCTGGAAAAATAACCGAATAGAAAGACATGGATGTACCGAGATAAGAGCTGGGAGGCGGCGGACGGCGATCGCAGGGCGCCGTAGGGTGACACCGCGCTCGCCGTCAGCGCGGCGGGGGCCGGATCGGGCCCGGCGCACCTGCCCCGTGTCCCCCAAAAATCCCGGCGAGGCATTTCCACGAGGCCGGGAGAGCGCCGCCGGCACCGGGCTCTGCGGGGTTTGCGGTGGGCGCTGCCGGCGGGGGTAACCCCCAGCACAAACTCCAAAGGAAAGAACCCGTGTCCGTCCCGCTGCCATTCTGCGGGTCGAAGGACGCTGTTTCCCGGGATCCACTTTTAAAGGGGCATCAGAGGCTGGATAAAAGCTCAGAAATTCCGCCGCGGTCCTTTCCAGTCCCAGGGAATTTTGATAGCTTAGATCATGCCGAAGCGATTTCGAGATCGTATATGTGCCGTGGTGTCCCTTAAAATTCTCACAAATAAAATTAGGGCGTAGGTTTTCTTTCCCCCCACTAATGACAGCCATTCGGACAATTTATATCTTACAGCGAGAGCTGCAGCACTGGGGAAAATAAAGAAAAAAAAGGAAAAAGAAACAGGAATAGGAAAAAAAAAACCACCACATTTGAAGCAGGAATTAACATCCAAATTTTTATAGACTCCCATATTTTTAATGTTATGAGAATCTCCGTTTTAGGAGACACTACGTTTTGTCGAATTAATAAGATAAATGTTGAAAGCATATTATATGCAGCCTTTAATCCTAATGCAAGGAAAATCGTAATTATGTGGAGGATAAGTGAATTTGAAAGGCAAACATCAGCCCACTATCTGCAAACCCCGCTCCGTTCGCCCCTGGAAAACGCTTTGTCTCTCCTTTTTTTGAGTTTAAGGGATTTCAAATTCTATTTTTAATTATTCTTTTTTTTTTCTTTTTTTTTCTTTTTTTTTTAATCTGTTTTGTATCTGAAATGACGACGATCAGGGAGGGACCGGTAAACGCTTTTCCACGCGGTAAACCCCTTATTTCGGCACAGAGCATCTGCGCGTGTGTGTCTGTTCCCTGAAGCTGGGCGCGTGTCGGTGAATGCGGGAGCCCCGCGTGTGCAGCGGGAGGCTGGGAATGGCTGGGAATGGGCAGGGGGCTCCGGCCGGGGCTGCCCCCTGCCCCGCTGCTGCGGCCACCCTGCTCCGGCGGGGAGCGGGGGCTCCACGGTGCCGCTTCTCCGCACGCCGGGCCTTCGCCGGGCGCCGGAGGGCCGCTCCGCGGAGCCGGGCACGGGCAGCCCCGCTCGGCTCCGTCCCGCCGAGGAGGTTTTTTCCCGCGTGTTCGATTACCCCTACCTGGCAGGTGCGGGGATAGGGCGGGCAGCCGCCGCCGGGATCGCTGCGCCGGGCGGAGCGGCCGTCGGACACCCCCGCTCCCCGCCCCGCACCCCCGCTGGGCCGAAGCGGAGCCGCGGCCCCAAACACGCCCGCTGCCCCGGCAGAGGGTCCGTGGGGATACCGCGTTTCCCACCCCCTTCCCCGTTTTTGCTCGGTGGCGGCGGGTCCAGGTGAGGGACGGGCGGGCGGCGAGCGGGCAGCCCCGAAGGGGTTAACGGGAGGGACGTGGGCTGTCACGCGTCATTGGGCAGATTATGTGCAGCAAACAAAAAGTGTGTGTCTGCGTGCCAGCCCCTCACTGCACCGGGTCCGTCTGCACCGCGCGCCTCCCGCTCCGCCGCCCGCACGGCCCGGCCCGTCATGGAGCGGCGCTGAGAGCCCGAGGCAGCCAGCCCGGAGCCGCCTTTGTGCCACTGTCGGGGCGAGGATTAACCCCACCGTCCCTGGTGAGTACCGGCGGAGGGGCCCCGCCGCCCCCCGCCGCCCCGGAGCGGGAACAATGCCGGGGATGGCCGCGCTGCCGGCGGCTCTGCCCGGGCTGCGGGGAGCGGCGGGGGAGCCTCGGGAGCGGCCCCGGCGCCGCCCGGCCCGGACAAAGGGCGGCCGGGGGGAGGCGGCGCCGCGGGGCCGGGGGCCGCTCGGGGAGCCGGGGGGATGCGGCGCCGTGGAGAGCCGTACGGGGCCCGCCGTCGCCGGGGGGAAAGTTCGGCGGGGGCCGCTCGCTGCCGGCGGTTTCGTTTGGGGAAATCAGACCTTCGGGGAAGGGATGCGTCGGGGAGCGGCTGAACGGGGAGGGCGCCGGGGAGGCGGCCGGAGCGCCTTCCCCCCGGCCTCCGTTCCCGGGGAGGGGCCGGGACCCCGGCAGCCGCTCCGGGGGGGGTGAAGTTCCCGGCGGTACGGGGACCCGGCCGTATCCCGAAATCGGAGGGGAGCGGCGGCTCGGAGGAGCCGTGCCCGGTGCGAGCGGCGGCAGCCGTCAGCAGGCGCACCGGGAGGAGCACCGGTCTTTTCCCGAGCCAGCCCCAAATGACGGATTTCGATGGCAGATGGGGCGGGGGGAGGCAGCCGTGCGCTAATCTGGTCGGGAAGAGCGAGGGCACCGCAGCCGGGCTCGGTGCTCCCTCCCCGGCCTCGGCGCCGCCGGCCCCGCACCCTGCCCGCTGCCCGCACCCCGCCAGCTGCCCGCCGCCCGCATCCCTCCCCTCGTAACGCGCGGCAGCCTGGGCTCACCCTGCTCCATAAATAAGCGTGTCGAGGTAAAAATAATTACCTCTGCTTGCTGCTTTTAATTAAAGTCTCGGAGGGAAAGTGCTGGATTATGATAATGAGCAGCCATACGTTCCCCTTGTCGCGCGGAGCGGGAGGTGAGCTGACACGCAATCGGCGACAATGACAAGCCACTGGAACCCACCCGCTCCCCCGGCATAGCCCGCAGCCCGGCCCAGCTCCGGAGGTTGCTGGAGGGAGACCCGGCGCCTGCTCGGGACAGGACATGGCCGGTGGGATTCCCGGATCCCTGGCCAGAGCCAGTTCCGCCGCGATATCTAAAAAAATAAATCAGCATGGCAGAGTCCCCGCACCTCGCCTCTGCTCACAGCTCCTAGCCTGCTTTAAATTTTTTCATACCGGAGAAACTGCTCGCCTGCTTTTTTTCTCCTTTTTTTTTTTTTTTAATTTTTATTTTTTAAAAATAATTTTTAGAGTTGTTGAGACTTTTTTTTTTTTTTTTCCCTCAATGGTTTATTTAATAATTCAAGTCGATTTTGTTTTGTTTTCTGGGGCATCCAGGTGTACTGCTGAGCGGGACCCGCTGCGGTAACTGCCCCTCTCTGCCTCCCTCTCCTCTCGCAGGGATGGAAGACGCCGGCGTCCAGCGGGGAATATGGGACGGGGATGCCAAGACGGTCCAGCAGTGCTTGACTGACATTTTTACCAGCGTTTACACCACCTGCGACATCCCGGAAAATGCCATTTTCGGCCCCTGCGTCCTGAGCCACACATCCCTGTATGACAGCATCGCCTTTATCGCTCTCAAGTCCACCGACAAGCGCACCGTCCCCTACATATTCCGGGTAAGAGCCGCTCGTCCCGGGGCCCAGCCGCTCGCCACGTCGGCCGGTGCCCGAACGCGTCCCCGCCGCGGAGCGCAGGTCGGCCCGGGGAGCCGGGCGGCTGTCCCCGAGGGCAGAGCCGCGCCGCCGCCGCCGCTCCTACTGTTGCCTGGTCCCTCCCTGTCGGTCGGTCGGTCGGTCGGTCGGTCTTTCGGTCCGGTGGATTAACGCGGGGTTTCAGGTGGACACGTCGGCGGCCAACGGCTCGTCGGAGGGGCTGATGTGGCTGCGGCTGGTGCAGTCGGCGCGGGAGCGGGAGGAGCAGAACCTGGAGGCCTACATCAAAAGCGGCCAGCTCTTTTATCGCTCCCTACGCCGCATCGCCAAGGACGAGGAGCTGCTGGTGTGGTACGGGAAGGAGCTCACCGAGCTGCTGCTGCTCGGCCCGGCCCGGGCCCCCGCCCGCACCAACGGTGGGTGCCCCGCGCGGCCGCCGCCGTCCCGGGCGGGAGGAAGGAGGGGGATCCCCACCGCCGGGGGGAATCGGGTTCCCCTGCTCCCGATCCCCAAACTCTCAGCGGATGTCCCGTCGGCGGGCCCAGCTGACGGTGCTCTCTCCCTCTCTCTGTCTCCCTCTCTCCCCCTCTCTCTCCCTCTCTCTGTCGTGCCCGCCCGCCGCAGGCTCGCCGCCCTTCGCCTGCCCTGAGTGCAGCCAGCGCTTCCAGTTCGAACTGCCCTTCGCCGCACACCTCCGGTTCCGCTGCCCCAAGAGGCTTCACGGCCCCGACACCGGGCCCGCCGCCGAGGCCGCCGGCGTCAAGGACGGCTCCGGCAAGGAGCAGGAGCCCGGCAAGTTCGGGAAGCCCGGCGGGCCGCCGCACCACCCCTTCCCCGGGCCCGACGGCGGCCCCGCCGCCAGCACCAAGCCCTCCACGGACTTCCACAACCTGGCGCGGGAGCTGGAGAACTCCCGCGGTGGGCGCGCCGGGTCCCCGGGGCGGCCGGCGCCCCCCGAGGGCGTCCCTGAGGCGGCGGCCGGGAAGGCGAAGAGGCGCTTCCCCGAGGAGGAAGAGCGCGGCCCCGGCGCGGCGCGGAGCCGCTTCCCGGCGGAGCGGCCGGGGCTGCCGGCGGCGCCCAAGGAGGAGCCGGGCTGCGCCCCGCAGCAGCAGTACCGGGCCGCCGGCTCCTACTGCGGGCTCGAGGAGGGCGGACGCCTCTTCGCGCCTCCCAGCCCGGAGACCGGCGAGGCCAAGCGCAGCGCCTTCGTGGAGGTGAAGAAGGCGGCCCGCGGCCCCGAGCCCGACGGCGGCCCCGAAGAGGGGCCAGAGCGCGGCTCCCCGGGCGCGGGCGGCGCGGAGCAGGGGCTGTGCCCCCGCGGCGGTGCGGGGGGCCCGCTGGCCGCCCGCCTGGACGGCGGCAGCCCGGCGCGGGGCAGCGCCTTCAGCACGGTGCCGCAGCTCGGGGCCGGCCCCGGGGCGCCCGGCGGCGGCGGGGCCGAGGAGAGAAAGAGCGCCTTCTCGCAGCCCGCCCGCTCCTTCCCGCACGTCCCGCCGCTGGTGCTGGGTCCCAAGCTGGGCGGGCTGGGCGAGCCCTGCCCCGACGGCGCCGCCGCCCCCGCCCGCCTGTACGCCGCCGAGGCGCTGGCCGCCAAGCTGCCGGGCGGCGGGGAGGCGGCGGGCGGCGGCGGCGGCGGCGGCGGGGGGCTGCCCAAGCAAAGCCCCTTCCTCTACACCACGGCTTTCTGGCCCAAGAGCTCGGCGGCGGCGGCGGTGGCGGCGGCGGCGGCGGGGCCGCTGCAGCTGCAGCTGCCGTCGGCGCTGACGCTGCTGCCGCCGTCGTTCACCTCGCTGTGCCTGCCGGCTCAGAACTGGTGCGCCAAGTGCAACGCGTCCTTCCGCATGACCTCGGACCTGGTGTACCACATGCGCTCCCACCACAAGAAGGAATACGCGCTGGAGCCCCTCGTCAAGCGCCGCCGCGAGGAGAAGCTCAAGTGCCCCATCTGCAACGAGTCGTTCCGCGAGCGCCACCACCTCTCCCGCCACATGACCTCCCACAACTAGCGGGGACAACCCCCCCTGGCCCCGGGAACCCGCCCGGGACCCCCGCGAGGGGGACCCCCACGCCGCCCGCCTCTCCCACCCTTCCCATTCGATGCACGCGTTTCCACTGTCCGGGGAGGGGCGGGGAGGGCAGCGGGTGAGGAGGAGGAGGAGGAGGAGGTGAAGAAGAAGAAGAAGAAGCAGAAAAATGAAGGTAAAAGTTAAAAAAAAAAAAAAAAAAAAAAGAGAGAGAGAGAGAAAGAAAGAAAAGAGAAGCACCGGGGGGAAAAAAAAATCAAATTACTTAAAAAATACATTTTTTAAAATGTCATATATTGCAACATATTGATGCATTTGTCATACGTTTCTACTTAAATTATTAAGCACTTATGGTTTAGATGTAATAATAATTCTATGTCAGGGTAAATTTTTATTTTGGATATGAAGCTAAGGGCGAGGGGAGCGCGGCGGGGCCGGCGGGCGGCGGGCCGGGGTCCTGCATGCACCGGGCGCTACCCCCGTCCGGCCCCGCCGCCCGCGCCCCTTCCCCCCAAGTGTCACTGTTGCCCGTGGAATGGAGTCTCGGTAGTTCCGTGTTACCTTCCCTTTCCCGTTTGGGTTTGTCTTTTTTTTCTTTTTTTTTTTTTTTTTCGTCGCCCCTCTGGAAAAAAAAAAAAAAAAGATTTATTAAACTTTATAGTTTATCCGGGTATGTTGGATGCTTTGACAATAAATGACTTTATTTTCTTCAAAGCACCTGGACGTTAATCGATGCGGGGGAACGGGCGGTGGCGAAGGGGTGGCCCCTCTAGTGCGCGGTGGCAGCGGGGCCCCGGCCACACCGGGCCGCAGGGAAGGGCGGATCGAGCCCGCCGCCTCTTCCCGGGGCTCTCCTTCCCTGCTCGCCCGCCTTCCCTCGGCCCCTCCGACATCTGTCCGTCCTTCCTCTGCGCATCTTTGCTTTTGTCCGGCATTTTATTCAGCCTTTATCTCTCTCCTTCATCCTGTCTTTCCCTTCCTTTCCTCTTCCCTTCGTGTTTTGGGTTGCCTTTAATTCCTTTCATTTCGCCTTTTTCTTGTTGCCTTTCTTTTTGCCGCTCTTTCTTTTTCTTTCTGTCTGTGTTTTGATGTTCTCCCACCTCACCTCTTCCCGGAGCCCGTGTTGCCCCCCACCCTTGCCAGGGCTATCGGTGCTGCCCGGTACCGGGCGGGCTCAGCCACGGAAGTTTCCCGAAGGTTGTCAGGGCCGAGAGGACCCAGGGAAGCCCCCGGCCCGCAGTGTCTTAGGGCGGGGCGAGCTCGAAAGGGCCAGGGTGGGGTCCCTGTGTCCGGGCGCGTTACCGGGGTGATGGCATCCCAGCCAGGGACACACGCGAGGGCCCAGACGAGGGGGATACAGCCCGCTCCGAAGGGAGCCACCTGCGGAGGGTGCGTTTGGTGTCAGCCCCGCGAGCTTTGGGGGGGCACTGGGGGACAGAGCAGCCCGGGGATGTGCAGGAAACCCATTTCTACGTAGGGGCTGCCGTCCCCCTGGCACCGAGGCTGTGCGTGCCTCAGCAGGTCACTGGCAGGGAGAATATCCCAGAGCCGGAGCTGTGCGAGGCCGGAGCCCACGGCGGAGCGTGAGAGCTCCGGAGCGTCGCGTAAATGGGGTCCAGGTGCGACCGGCCTCCGCCGCCGTGGGGTTTGGGGTTTGCACGGAGTACCCGGACCTGCTGCAGAGCCTTCCCGGGGAAGGGCCCGGGGCTTCACGTACGACAACCTAGGAACATCCCTGCCACGGACAGTCCAGCTTCCCGCTCGTGTCACTCGCCGTCTCGGCGCGGCACCAAAAACCCCCAAGCCACGCCAGGAGCCGAAGCGGCCCCCTGCTCCCGTTCCCTGCCTCAGGAACACGCATAGCTTCACCTGCTGCCGCTAACTGCGGGGGCGAGACGCTGATTATCCCGTGGATTTCCCTTAAAAGCAGTGCCACCCCTGCGCGTCCCTTTTTTGAGGGTTTCCCGGGATGCTGCGACGGGGCTCCGGGGGATGCGGGCGGGCTGCGGGGGATGCCGGGGGCGGCAGAGGCGGGTGGGCACCGCCATCTAGTGGGGCCGCCGCGGGGCTGGCGGGGATGATCGGGGCCCCGGCGGGCTCCTTCCACGGCGATGCTCCGGACTCCTGTACCGCGGCAGCTTCGCTTCCCCAGCAGCCGCGGGCCGGCTTTGGGGCTGGCTCCCTCCCGCACCCGGGGAGGTTCATGATGCTCTCCCTGACTCGCTGCGCTTGTCCTGCTGCTGCTGGAGGGATGGTGCTTCCACCACGAAGGTGCACTCGGGAAACCAGCACACACCTGCAAGCTTCAGAATCTTTTCCATCTACCACAAATATTTTATGGCCTTTGACAGCCGTGTGGAGTGCTGTGCCCCTGCCCTGCCCTGGCAGCATCCTGCAGCACCTTGCTTTCCATGTGTTCCCTGTGAGTCTCTCAGAAGGCTCGGCGCTGAGCCCCAGGACTTCTCCCATCAGGCGTGGCTCAGCCTGCAGTCAGCCCCCTAAAAACAGTGTTGGACAGAGCACGGCTGGTGCTGCAGGTGCCTGAGCTGCTACTGCCACCACATAAAGCTCACACCATTTCTCTCTGTAAGTACATGAATCTACAGACTAGAGGTCAGGAAATTTAATCCAAGACTTGGTTTTGGTGAAATCGGATATTGAACTCCAAGGTGATAAATCAAGCTCCAACTAATGCTTCCTGCACAATCAGAACGTGCTATAATTAGGGCAGGCGGTGCCCACGATCCTGTGGAGCTGGGTGCTGTATGGAGGGGCTTCACAGGAGTTCCCCTTGGGCCACTTGGGCTCGGGGCTCGGCCAAAGCGGGTCACTCACTCCCCAGAGTCATGCTGGCTCTCCTTAGGTCAGCTCGAGTACCATTGCCACATACTGCTCCTTTGTCAACACTGCTGCTGCTGCCGCTGCTGTGTGGGAAACAGGAAGAGAATCTTCTTTTTGGTTTTTTTTTTCCATTTAATGTCTGTCCCTGTCCATGGTTGATGCTGTGCTGTGTCTCTGCACAGCACAGAAGCTGGCTGGGCTGTGGCACCGGCTGGCTTTCCCCCACGCAGGGTCCTCACCCGGCATCACAGCCCAGAAAATTCAGTGCTGGGGCATCACATGGGCATTTCTCTGGGACAGAGCTGCCCCTGCAATCCTGTGCCAAAGCCACACAGGACACATCTGCTTCCAAAACCCACCCACAAGGGGCATTTTCATTGTGCTGCAGGGGAAGAGTAAGAAGTAGGAGCAGCCTTCAGATTTGGGGAGCCCCTTCCCTGCAGCACTTCAAGTAAGGCTGTTCCATCTTAACTGTAGCCGGGCCACACTGCAAATTGTAACAATGATAATAATTCCAACAAATCCTGCTATTATTGCTGTTCCTGGGGAGCAGAAGGCAGCTTTGCATCCACAGAGGTGTTTGAGGGTGCAGTAGTCAGGCAGCCACGGGCAGCAGACCCAGAGCCTGTGCACCTTTGGGCTGGAGCTGGGGGTAGCTGCCCACCTGGGGGCCTGACCCTGTCCTGCCAAAGCCAGCAGGAGCTGTGCCTCTGGCTCCACACGGCAGCAGGTCTGGGAATGGATTAGCACCAGGCAGCCACACACAGGCACCTGAACTCGTCAGCAGGGACACGGGCTGTGCAGAATTCCACACGGATCCTTTCCCTTCGGTCTGGAGAGAGGTGTACAAGCAAGGCTTTAGCCACGCAACCTCTGAGCATCCTCACACTGAACCTGCGGAGGCAGTCCCAAAATCTTTGTGTTGGGTTTTTTGCTGCGCATGAAGATGCCGAGCAGCGTGCTGGACAGATGGAGATCTGCTGCCTGGCCACTGGCACAGTTTGCTGCCATTGTTGCGAGGAGGCTGAGCTCCCCTTTGTACAGTGTCTATCTCTAGTTAACCTCCAACTGGCTAAAAATTGGTTAAAATCAGATATTAGGATTTCATTGCAATACCCAGCTCTTGAAAATGCGTTGTTCAGCTGCAGATGTCTAGGAAAGGCTGAAATAGTTCCCTTCTTTTGAAAATCATACGAGCTGTATGGTATTCCTTCTCTACTTTCCCTGCTGCTAAGGTCAGATTTGGAGCGGGGAAGGACCTGAGCCAGTACCGAATGCGTTGATGGCGGGTTTAAAACAAATACACACAAAAACCAAAACACAGGGGGGATGTTTCTGTGAGATATAGCGGTGTCCTGCAGAACGCTGGAAAATGCCTGGCATGTTCTGAGCTTTATTTAAAGAGACAATGCTTTTCACTTGTTAGAATTTGTTTTATTTCTTTTATTTGTTTTATTTCCTTATCCGGGCTTGTGAGGTGGCTTCTGGTTGATCTTGGTGACATTGATGCCCATGGGGGCACATTAACCACTTGCACCTGTGCTCCCCACACACCTGAAGTGTGTGAATAATGAAGGATTCATTAAGTCAGATAAGGCCAATCATCCTAATTAAATTAACCTGTTTTAAGGCTCGTCCTCCCAGCAGCACGTTTGGTTCTGCAAAGCTCCGGTGGCAGCCACGGTTCTCACCCTTTTGGCAGTGGGGGTGCTCACAGAGGGATTTTTTGTGGGGACCTGGCACCTCTGTTGGACTGCAGCGAGTCTCCTTCAGGCACATCCCCATTGCAAAGGCTCCCCTGCCCCGTTTCGTGTCTCCTGGTGCTTTGCCTCACGTATTTTTAAGTGGCAATTAAGTAGCCCCAGGCTGATGTTGGGAGGGGGGAGCGCTCCTGTCCAACTTGCAGGCCCGGTGCTCTGCAGCAGATCAAACAGGCTCAGAAGAGTCCTTCTCATCTTCACACGGGGAATTTTACACGTGAAACTCAGCTCCATTTGTTGAGTTTTTCTCTGTAACCGAGCCCTGAATAATTCAAATAACATAACATCAGCATTAGGCTTCCAAAGCTGCTGGTGTGTGTTAGTTGCTGCTGCCAAAGGCAATTACACACAATTGCTCCAGGAAGTTCACTATTACGTCTGCTTATTTATTTAAATTTAAATCTCGTGTTTGGTTTGTTTTGGGCTTGGTGTTTTCTTGGGGCTTTTTTTGAGTTGTGCTACAGGAACAATACACCAGGAGTATTTAGGATCGACGTGTGATGCAGGTGAACGAGTAGGAAGCGCCCAAAGCCGCACAGGTCGTGCCCAAAGCGCTGCTTGTGAGCTCTTTGCAGTGAAGGTGAAAACACATCGTGTGCCACAGGGACCTGTGTGAGTCATTTTTCCTCAGTGAAGGTGGTCAGGTATTGCTCTGATGGGGACACGGGAGCCCCCAGAGAAGGGGGATGCTATCCTGCACTTGTCCCATTGAGCAGCAAAGAAAGGAGTACAGGGAATGAGTGAACCCCTAAGGGCTTTGCTGTCTCACTGTGCCCCCCAGAAAGGGTCAGGAATGTGCTCTGCAGTGGGGTTCCCTCCAAAAGCAGGTCTTGAGGACCAGCCTGGGCAAGCCCACGTGCTTGATGTTGCCTTCTTGGTGGCCACAACCCACGGGAGTTGGAGTTTTCTGGCAATTCTTCACTGGAGGGGAAAGACAGGAGTGTGAGTGAGCAGAGGATGCCTGGCACCAGAACCGCTGTTGGAAGCCGCGTGGGTGGACAAGAGAGTCGAAATCAGCGAGGCTGGACTTGCTGGGGAACCCCCTGGGCACAGAAGCTTTTCCTAGCAGTGGCTGTCTCTGGCCCCCGGGCATGCAGGCGCCTCCTCTCTGCTCCTGGGCTGCTGCTGTGCCTCATCACCCCAGGATGGGATCTGTGAATGTTTTTGCGTTCACCTTTAGCTGTCGGTGGCAGAACCAGTGGTCTCTGATCTGCTGAAACAACAGGGATTTTGCTGCCGTGATCCTGTCCCGGCTGCAGCCTTTATGCCAAGGTGCCCAAGAGGAAATCCTCCTGGAGCAAGGTGGCTGTGCTTCTCTCAGCTGTGCAGAGGCAGAAAGTCTTGTGTGAACACCACTCGAGAGTTTAGGAAGTCCTGCGGGTTCTCATCCTCCTCGAGGATCCGGATTTGGAATCAGCATGGATGTGTAACTCAAGAGGAGGTGGGTAAGTGGAAGTCATGGATTTTGCCAGGCTAGCCACTACAGCTGGGAGAAGTAAACAAGATTGGAGTGCCCTGACCTTCCTTCAGGTATGTGCATCTATATATAGGGCTGTCTATGTATACATGTCTATATATAACGCGTGTGCATACGGCCCTGGGGATATATATACGTGCTGAGAAATGGTTTGAAATGGCAGCAATGCTGCGAGATCATCTGCTCACGCCAGGCCGTGCCAGGTGTCAACCGGGCTGGATACAGCTCCTTAAGTGCGTGTCCCTCTCTGTGCCCCCGACCTTCAGCTTCCTCGGGAGGCGAAGGTCACCCTCGGACGTGCCACCGGCTCTGCCTCCTTCCTGCCGAACCCGATCCCTGCGCGCGTGGCCAGGACGAGCCCGCCGGCCAGAAGCACCCCTGGGATGGCCGGGGGGCGATTCCCGGTGGGATTTAGGGGACAACACCGGTTGGCAGGAGCGCTGAGGGCGCGGAGGGGCGGAGTTGGTGCCGCGGGATGGGCAGGGCGTGTTCGGCCCGTGTCGGCTTTAGTAGAGGCGAGCTTTCCCCGGTGGCTTCGAGAGCCTGGAGCGGCCCTAGGAGCCGAGGAAAGCGTGACCCACGTGGATTTGTGCCGGGGGATGGATGGGATGTCGCTGCGGGGTCTCCTCCGGCGCTGTGCGCTCCTTGTCTTTGTGCGGGGGAAGGAGCAGGGCCGGGGGGCACCTGCCGTGTGTGCGGGACACCCTGACAGCGGCTGCGGGCCTTGCGGCCCCTGCCCGGGCACCCGGGAGGGTGGTGCGGACCGACGAGGGCCGCCGCTTTCCTGCGGGCCCCGAGATGCCGCTGGGGGTTGGTGATGGACCCTCCGACAGCTCAGGGGCTGCTCTCGGGGCCGAGCGTGGTCCCGTGAGGGAGGGAGAGCAGCGGCTTTGCGGTTCGGGGGCTTGTCCCGAGCCCCCTGCCCGAGGCTGGGCTGGGAGTGCAGCTGCCTTGTCACCCCCCGAACCCCAGGCGGGGGGCTGCAATCCGAGCCTGTCCCCAGGGTCCCGCAGCCCCGTGGCCTCGTCCCGGCGAGGAGGACAAGTTAATTCCCAGATAGATGCTCCCCGAGCCCCGCATCTGCCGCGGGGGGGGGGGGGGGGGGGGGGGGGGAAGGGGGGCGTGGGGCCGGGCACAGGTGCGGGGCCGCCGCCCGGTTATAAATAGCGGGGAGGGGCGGCCCGGCTCCCCCCGTGCTCGGTCCCCCCCTCCAGGGCTCGGAGCGGGATGCGGCGCCCTCCCTCCCTCCTCCCGCCCGCCGGCAGCATGAGCCCGTCCTTCCTCCTCCTCCTCCTCCTCCTCGCCCTGCCCGCCCGCGCCCGGCGAGAGCTGCTGCCCGGCGGGGCGCAGCGGGCCCGCAACGCCCCCGCGTCTTCCTCCTCCTCTTCCTCCTCCCCGGCGGCGGCGGGGCCGAGCCGCTTCCCGCGGAGCCGCCCGGATCGGCGGCGGGGCCGGCTCTACTGCCGGGTGGGCATCGGCTTCCACCTCCAGCTGCACCCCGACGGCCGCGTGGACGGAGCCCACGACGCGAGTCCGCTCAGTGAGTGGGGCCCGGGAGGGCTGGGGGGCTGCCGCGCCAGGGCCGGGCTCCCGGGGCTCAGCATCCCCATCCCTGCGTTCTTCCCACCCCCCCGGGGGCCGACAGAGCCCCGCGCCCGGACTGAGCTGCGGGCCCTGGGAAAGAAGGGGCGTTTGGGGTGCCGGGGGGAGGGCTGTGCTCTGCGGGCTCCGTGGGAGCTGCCTGCCTGCCTGCCTTCCTCTGGGAAGTGCCACCTGGGGGTTCGCCCGGCCCCAGCAAGTGAGTCCCTGGGGATGGTGTGAGAGCGTGAGGTCTGCACTCCCACCACAGCCCTTGCCAGGCACCTGGGGGAGAAGATGCTGCCCCTTTTCGGTCCTTTCCCTGTGGGACTTTTCCATCCCTCTCTCTGTGTTCTCGTTCTCCCAGCACAGCGATAGGATATATTCAGTTTAAAAATAGGACTGAGGCTGACGTTCCCCTGAGAGAAAGCTGTGCTAACTCATGGCTTATCCTCTGGTCGGAGTTGCCATGATATCCTGCTAGAGGGAATGAAATGGCAGGTGGGGATGAAAAATCTCTTGAGGAGCCCAAGGGTTCGGGCCCGAGGTGACCCCAGCAGCGAGCGTGGCTCAGCTGCTGGGAGCGTTCACGGAGCAGCCGCCGCATCTGCCGGGGACCAAAGAATTTGGGGCCCAGGCTGTGGTGCAGCACCAGGAGGGAGGACAACCCCTGGGCAGGAATGTTGAGAGCCCAGGAGTTCTGCTCTGGCCTTCACGGGCGCGGCAGGCACAGTGGCTTGGAGGGGTTCAGAGGATGGGGAGCGAAGTGGGGCACCCACGCCGCGGCTGTTTTGGGAGACGTGGGTTTGGAAGGGCTGGCAGAAGTTTGGTGCTACAGCTGTCCTGCAGAGACCTGAATTATGTGCAGTTCCTTCCTCCTTAACCTGAGATATCCCCCCCCCCCGGAAAGGCCACAGCGACAGCAGCCCCACACGTCGGAGCAGAGCCAGTCCTGGCTGGGGACGCGCTGCTGGGGGGGCTGTGCCGGGCTGTTGCAGTGAGGAGGCCCTCAGGAGGAAGAAGTTGGCTTTTGGCAGGGTAACCCCCACTTTGGTCCCTGGGAAACGGGGCTTCACCCCAGGCAACCCCCCCAGTAACCAGGAGCGTGCCTGCCACAGCAACTGAGCCCCCCCAGTGAGAGGCAGGAGGTTTTGGGGTGCCCCAGGTGTGTGACAAGGTGCTTGCCTGGCTGCGGTGGGGCTGCAGGGGCGGGGCAGCCTGTAACCCTCCCCAAGGTGCCCCCCAGGCCCTGGGTGCTGGCACTTGGGTGCCTCAGGGGGATGTGCTTCCTCCTTAAAATAAACATGGGAAGTGGTGATCTGATACCCAGCCTTGGGGGATTTAGCGTGGCTTCGTGTTGGCTCCTGGCATGTTAATCCCACAGCCCTTTGGGGGCCGGCAGAGATGCTCTGCGGGCTCTTTCCTCTGGGGCCGGGGCCACGGAGCCGCTGGGGCTGCACTGCGCAGCGGTGCGGGTTCCCCAGGGTGCGAGGGGTCCGCTGGGGACCTGGTGCTGCCCCCGAGCTGGGGGGCTCGGGGGGACGCCCGGCCCGAGGTGCCCCTTGGGGAGGTGCCCCTTGGGGAGGTGCCCCTTGGGGAGGTGCCGTGTCGGTGCTGCGGCTGAGGGACGCTCGGAGCTTGCAGTTGTTCCGTCAGATGAGTTGCAGGTCCTGCGTGCCCCACCAGGGGCCTGAGCCCCCCTGACGCTCGGGAAGCTCCCGTTTTCTCCATGGCCGGGCTGCACAGCGCCCCGAGCCCCGGTGAGGGAGGGGTGGGAGGGAGCACCAGGGGTACCCCCAGTGCCAGCTGGGCTGTGGGACACCGACTTCCCGAGTTCAGCCTCCGCGGGATGAGCGTGGGTGACTGATCCCAGCAGGCTGGAGTAGGTACAAGGGACTTTTCCCACCCTTGGGAAGGGCTTCCCCAGGGGTCCACTTGTTCTACCGCAGCCCAGCCAGGAATTGTGCCCCAAAATGGAACTTACTTAAAAAAAAACAGTCCAAGCCACCAACCTGAGTGGATGGAGGCTGCTTTGTGAGGCAGAGGGATGGAGCAGGAGCTGGGTGGAGCCAGGCAGCTGAGGAGCAGGGACGTGGGAGAGGAAATGCAAACCTGTCAGACTGAGTTGTATTTATTTTTTCTCTGTCGCACCGATGTGAAAAGAACTGTGATTTATTTTGGGATTTCTGTCATCCTAGGTATTTTGGAAATATTTGCTGTGTCTCAGGGGATTGTAGGAATACGAGGAGTTTTCAGCAACAAATTTTTAGCGATGTCAAAAAAAGGAAAACTCCATGCAAGTGTAAGTAAACCCCCCCCCCCCCCCCCACTCCCACATCCGGTTACTTGTTTACAA